AACGTACATACGTATATACGTACATACATACATAGGTATATATGTACGTACATATATACATCGCGCGTATTAGCCACCACATGCGCGCGCTCACGAACGCGAAGTGATCTCTCAGCTGTTTATCCGAAACTCCGAAACGCTGTGGTGCGAGGTGCGAGGTGCGAGTTGGTTTCGAAGCAATCATCGGAAATCGGAAATCGTCAGCAGTCATAGTCGACCGAGGCGGAGATGACTATAGGAATCATACCACGCGAATTTTCCGCACTACAACGTCGTGTTTATTTTTAGTCTCGAGTGTGCCATGTCACGTCGTCGCATCGACGCGTCGACAAGATTTTTGCCGTGTAATTACGTGCCGCGAAATTCCTAAAAACTCGACTCGGGGACACCGCACTAGGAATTTGCTCGCGGCAGTAATTCTTTCGTATGATCCATTCGCTGTGAGCAGCGGCGATTTGAGCTCGATCTGATCAAGGATCTATGCGCTGTTGAAAAATCAGCTGGTAATTTTATCAAGAAGCCAACTATGAGGAAGACGCGCGTCAACATTTTCCATGATATCTATTATCAGCCGTACGACGATTGCACGAGGCTCAAACTCTACTCCAGTAGCAAAGGTAAGATAATCTCTTTTCTCGGCATATAACATAGATGTGTAATGCGAATGTATGTGATAGTTTGACATAAACTTATACGCGATTAGGTTTTTCGAGTTGTAATGCGTAATTGAAACATCAATCATTTTCTGTTTTCGTTGACTTGAAATAAAACAACAAACAATATTATTATTTCACTGCTCTGTTTCTTATCATGCCTGACTACAATCTTATTTCAATTGAATTCGACAAATTGAAAAAAAAATATTTCATGTTTTATTATAATATTTCTTGTTTTACAGCTAGCTTACAGTTGATACAGCGTATGTCGTTGCTGAAAAGATTGAAAGTCCACAATGGTTGCGTGAATTCTATTTGTTGGAACAGTAGTGGAGAATTGATACTGTCTGGAAGTGACGATCAACATCTTGTTTTAACTAATGCACATAATTATGAGGTACATTTTTATTTTACCATTATCAAGATTTGTGACAATCAAATGGATACCTTATACTTGGAATTTTATATTTAGAATGATTTTACAATGTATAATAATTAATGAAAGTCTATCTGTGTAGATTTTTTTGCACATATTTTAATTTAGCAATGTTACTACACACAGCTGGCGATTAAAATGTATCGATAACTTAATTCTACTACTTTCCTTAACTTGAAATTTAGTTGTGGACCATCAGTCAAAAAAGATTGCGTGCCAAGATTATTTTTGAGTTTATCCTTGAAAGCTGAGTATGTCCAGCACTTAATTATACTTGGCAATTCTCAAAATATTTTTTTAACCTCTGACTCAGCTTGGGAATGTAATATATGTATTTGTATAAAACGATTTTGTATAAATTATAAAGTGAGACGATTGTAATAACGCACGATTATATTATTATGCTATAGATTTCATCTATGGAAGAAGTACAGTGTATTTGTGTCCCTTTTCTTTATATTTTATTCTACCCTATTCTTAAATTTTTTATATTAATTCTTGGTTTTTGTTGATACTAATTACCCGATTGTTTAATCGATCACTTTAATATAATATAATATAATATTAATCTAAATCTCATTTAATATCTCATTTAATATAATGGCATGCAAAAGAAAAGTATCTCGTTATTTGTTCGGAAACATAAAAACATTACATTAAGCATGACATTAAATCTTTTTAAAGAAATACTTTGAGTAGTTAATTCTAATCAAGGTCTAACACATTGACATGGTTAGAGATACAGATGCTGGTGCCAAAACCAATAAATTTGCGTCTGTGTACATGTGTGTGAGACGAGCACGTGATTAAATTTATCATCTAGTATTATTTAAATTTTATACTTTGTTAATTAATCGTGACATAGCATGCTTGTGTTATATTTCTTTTTTATCTAAATAATATTTTAATTTAACATATTACATGAATAATTCCTCAAATTAAATATATAGTTATATATATATATAACATATATAGTTATAGATATATAACATAGATAATGATGCTAATTTTATATTTTATTTTATTTTATATTAGTTAAATATATCTCAGCGAATTATTTTGATTATATCATATATTCAATTCAACAACTCTCAAGTTGAAAGAGAAAAGAGAAAAAAATATATGTAATATATTATACATTCAATTTTTCTTATTGAAGGTATTAACGGACTATAAAACGAGTCACAGAGCAAATATTTTTAGTGCCAAGTTTTTGCCTAATAGTGGAGATCATCGTATTGTTTCTTGTAGCGGAGATGGCATTATTTTGTATACAGGTAGGTATAAAAATTGATAGAATATAATTGAACAGAACAAATTAATAAATTAATAAATGACCGCCAACATTTGCAGATCTGATGAGAAAAGCAGAAACGTTCCATAATCAATTTACTTGTCACACCGGTACTACTTATGAAATAGCGACAATACCTGGTGAACCGCATAGTTTTCTAAGCTGTGGGGAAGATGGGACTGTGAGATGGTTTGATCTCAGAGTGAAGGATAAATGTAGCGCTACGAGATGTAAAGAGGCAAGTATTATTTTTATTATAAGATGCTATAATTTTTACGTAATTTACTTGCAGAATTATAAATTGAATTATTTTTTTAGGATGTACTAATTCCTTGTCAAAGAGCCGTGACTGCTTTGTCGGTGAATCCTGTATTGCCTCATCAGATAGCGATCGGTTGTTCTGATAGTACTGTAAGAACGTTCGACAGAAGAATTCTGGGTACACCCGCCACCGGTAATCTTTACGGAACCTTTAATTGTATTACGTCACACACAGTACAGAATAAATATGCATATTTTCTAGGTTGGACAGATACGGAAAGTTCAATAAGACCGCTGTGCAGTTTCACTGTCCCAGAATTCGAAGGCAATTCTTACAGGATTACATCGCTGAGTTACAGTCCAGATGGACAGGATGTTCTTGTCAGCTATAGCAGCGATCATCTTTATTTATTTAGTATCAAAGTAATGTAATAGTAACATGGCAATTATGACTATTTTTATTTACATTTTCCAAGGTTGCCTTCATATTTTATTTATATAAAAGAATAAGGCTTATAATCGTATATTTTTTATAACTATATTATCATTTATGTTAAAATTAAAATTATTTATTTCTGAAATTTATAATCCAGGATCAAGGCAGTTT